TTAATATCTTCGCCGGGTTGGGAGGCTACAACAACAACAACAACATCAAGCCTTTATCCCACTACGTGGGGTCGGGTTGGGAGGCTAAAGGAGGGAAATTTTTTAGAGTCTATAAAATTCATTCTCCACCTGATAAGGAAGAAAAGCTTCTCTGCCTAGTTGTGAGCTAAAGGAGAATCAATTTAATGCGATACCCAAAAGAGGAGGACCATTGGGGAGTGAATATAGGTCAATTTCGACCGAACCACTATAAATTTAATTTATGTATTCTTTACTATCTTGCAATTTATTTTTTTACACTCTACTTTAGTTTTGATTATCTTTGTAAAAGCTTTTTGGGTGATAAATCTTTGGTTAAAGTTTTATTTTGAAATTAAAAAAAAAAACTTATTTGCTTTTAGTTTTGATTTGAATATTTTTTTTCTTAAATACTTCCACATATCTCATTTTAATCTTAAGGAAAATATTTTTTTAAATACTAATTCACCATCCCTCTTAGTATACCACAAGCACTTTTAAGAATAGCCAAAATGAATGAACTGATGTACTAGATGAGACAAAAGAGATTGATATTGATATGATTGAAAAAGATTAATGTTTGATATGCGACTAATTAACTAGTGATCAGTAATGGATACAACTGATAAGATTGATGATAGGTGAGATAAATGACTGATGAGTGGAGGCTGATGATTGATAACTGATAAGACCATTGATTGTTAAAGATGATTGGTGAGACTGATGACTAATGATTGATGAAATATGACCGATGAAATCAATTCTTTGTTGGTTGACTAGAGGACTAATAAGACTGATTCCTATTAGGTTGGCCCCATAATATATAAATACATGATATACCAAAAATAGGATACAAAACCATTTATATATCATATATGATACAATTGATATGATTGTGATCGATGATATTGATTGACTGATTGAATGATACAAAAAAATGACTGATGTGTAGTAAGATTGATATTGTGCTAATAAAAATACATAGTGCATGACTGAGAAGACATGATTTAAATGAGTATATGATATATCGCTATTTAAATGAATATGTTTCTATTTTGTGCAATTATTTTAGTTATGGATTTTGGTAACTTGGTAAGCTTGTGCTTATTATGTAGTTTTTACATATTTTTAAGTAAGAGTAAGAAACCTATGGAGTGAGGTTAATATGAGCAGCAAATTTTAGGTTTCTTTATGTTCATGTTGATTCTTTTTATGGTCACAATATATTCTCAGTAATGAGTTGATTGGATTGAATATCATAATTATTGTATATATTATTTTTGGGTTATGGATTAATATATAAATATTGGATGAATAGTAATATCTTTATATTTTAGCTATCTTATTTTCTCTGGATTAAATTAATAAGCTCTAGTTGATAATGCAAAAGATAAAAAAATATAATTATTTCTAATTTAGATATTGTGGCATCACATTATGTGGCCTAAAGTCATCTTCAAGTGCTTGGTTCATAAGATTTATCACTATAATAATAATAATAAAAAATCTCAAGGGCATATTGATCAAACCTTATTTGTAAATAAATTATATAAGGGTCAAATTATTAACTTAATTGTTTATGTGGATGATATTATTTTTACTAGTGATTATGATATATAAATCAAGAGACTAAATATATTTTAACATATAACTTTGAACTTAATTATTTGGGAGCTCTAGAATATTTTCTAGGTATGAAAATCACAAGTTTAAGGAAATTTATATTTTCTTTTAATAAAAAATATAGGATTGATTTAAAAAAAACATTGAAAAGATGGGATGCAAACCTTCAAATAATCTTATAGATCTTATCAACAAAATATGATCAAATGGTGAACTCTCCAAGATGATAAAGAAAGGCACTATCATATTTTTGAGAAACTTATTTATCTATCTTATACTCATCCAAACATATCCAAACATATGTTACTTAGTCATATTATGTTTTAATTTATAAATACTCCATCATGTAGTTTACATTATACTATGATATATAAAGAAGATCTGAAAAGGGTCTATTTTTTAAAAGGATAATGTATAGAAATATATAATTTTTTACTTATAATGTCCCAAGATTAAATTTGATAGAATTATTCTTTTTTATCTTTTAAAATTAACATCAAAATTATCTATTTCTCTTTTATCAATATAATATTAGCTAAAATAAAACTAATTATCAAAATATTAAAACACATTTATACTCATTGCTCAAAAAATCATATATAATATTCAAGAATCATATAAATACAATACATCATTCAGTCATAAGTATAAAATAACAGCTAAAACAAAAAAGAACTGAACCTGAAGAATCCTGATTAGTCTTACACCATGATCTGAAATAATTTAAACCACATATATTGAGCTAAATAGCCCAACAAGTCACTCAATCCTACAACTGACTCCAAAGCACGGTAATAGAACAATATGTATATCATTCATCAGTTTAGAATAGTATCAATCATATGATCATGAATAAGTGTAGAAATAGTAAAACTTATATACTTAACAATAAAGTTTATATATATCCAACAAAATAACATGATATATATGTCAATAAAGTAGTATGGTGGCAAAAAAGTAAACTAGTATGGATGTCGAATTGATAAAGCAGCCGTCGTATCGACATTTTCAATCAATAAAGAAATCATATAAAGAGGAAAAAGTAAAACATCAATAAAAACTATCATAATCATATTATATAGTAAAACCTTATAATAATGCACACATGCTATACAATTATTCTATATCAGTATCATATCGGCATCTTAATCACATGATTAACATATCACATACTCAATATATTATATGCTCAATATTTGAAATCAGTGCAATGTATTATTAATAATAACGACAGTGAATCAATAGTAGTACTAGCAATAGCTTAGTTGCAATATTGATAAACAAATCTAGTGGCCATAGTAGTAAAATAATTGTAATAATAATAAATTCATACAATGATAATAAATCAATAAAATATCAGTAAATTCGTATTGTAAAAATGAATTTGTAACATGCATTTCACTAATCACATTAAAAAAGTAAGAAGTCATAGTTTATGTAGTGTTTTTCCGGTATCCATATTAGTAGTAAGTAATTGGTAACAATTGCTTCAATAATCAGAGTTGCTACTTTTTGCCCGTCAGTACTATAATAACTCCTTATAACTCTCAATCAATATCATGTGAATACCGAAGCACAATAACTCCTTCACTACAGGAAAACCCGTTGATACCGGCGGACAAAATCCGACGGTAAACATAGATAATCCGACGGAATAATGAGTTTCAGTCGGACTTTTCGGCGGAATTTCATACGCCGGTTTCGGTTCCTCGGCGGCGCGCGACTAGGAAGCACAGAGGGCGGGACGAGAGACTAGGAAGGAGGCTCGGCGAAGTCCGGTGATCATCGACGGCGATGTCCGGTGACCGTCGGCGACGTCTAACCACGGCGAGCGACGAACGACGACGGAGGGCGACGAGCGAAGCAATGGAAGTGAGAGAAAGAAAGGAAAAGAATGACGGCCAAAGGGGTTCGGGTTCGCGAAATAGGGCTTCTACCGGCGGAAGGTCCGCCGGTAATTTTAATATTGCCGTTGGTATAATTTCCGACGTATAATCCGTCGTTTTTTTTTCGTTGAGTTTAAATAAGACGGCGTACTATCCGCCGGAACCGTACGCCGGAATAGTTCCGCCGTAACATGCGACGGAAATGGTTCAGGCATCCCTATACCGTCGGGTTTTCCGGCGGACACGGCGTCGGTGAATTTCCGACGTATGTTCCGCCGGTAATGTTGACGCAAGCCTTACGTCGAACAAATCCGTCGGTGAGTACGCCGTTTATTACCGTCTAAAAATTTCTGTCGGAAACTCCGCCGATATTCGCGTGTTTTCCCGTAGTGCTTATTCTTATTATTTTAGTTTTAATTATTTTCCTAATTTTATGACTAATAATCATTTATGTTTTGATCCTATAAATATGTAATGATTCTTATAGTTAAAAAAATATATTAAAGTTTCTCTTCTAATTCTCTTATTTTTAATATCTTGGTATAACAAATTTAAACTCATAACTCAACAACTTGATGATGAGGACTATATACACAATAAAGGTTATAAGTATAAAATTTATTGTGACTTTTCTAATAATATTTATATCTATCATATTTTTATAATATTTTATTCTTTTCCTCATATAAAGAAATTTTTTTAAACTCTAATTGTAAATTCTTTTGGGTGAATATATATATATATATATCAGAAACATTCCTTATCATATTGTAAGTTTAAAAAAAATCTTCAAATAAATTCTTTCAATAGTATGCATCTAAGACTTCATTTATGATAATTTTTTTATTACTTTCTAAAATAAAATTTTAGTACAAAATATATATAATTCAAAAAAATTTTTGTTTGGGACTGCTTTCTTAATGCTTTGTAAAATTAATTTTTAGTATAGAAATAGTTTAAAATAAGGAAAAAAATAAAGCCTAAATCAAACAATAGTCAATGGATTTGTTTGAGAAAAAATAAAATAAAAAAAAATGAAAAAAATAATTTTTTGTTTGAGAAAATTTTAGCTTGCTTTGCTTTTTTAGATCACAATTTAGAAAATTTTTGACAGTTATTTTTTTAGAAAATTTCTATACTGAAAGATATTTTTTTGCAAAAAAAAAAAAAAGTTTTTTTAAACAACAGTTTTATAACTATTTTTTATAAAAAGCTGCCGTTGTCATAAACAGGATCACAAAATAATAATTAAAGAAAATAATATTTTAATAAATTAATAAAGAATATTCTGAAGACCGTTAACCATCGTCCACAGACAACGGAGTAAAGATGCCCAGCAACTGATCAGACGGTCCGAAGGAGCCATCAGCCTTCAACGGTGGAGATGCTCTTAGCTTCAAGCCTGAAGATGAACGGACACGTGTCAGCAAGGGAGCCTCTCTTCCAGGATACAAATGGAGATTTTACAGAGCCGGCAAGAATCTGAGAAATTTTCCCGCTTTTGGAAGCCGGATACTCCATGTGAGCTGGAGAAATAGCTCCGTGTATCTTCCTTCATCACTCTTCCCCTGCGTCGAAAAGCTCAGCGCTAGGGTCAAGCTCTCCAGGTCGTGAGAGCTCCAGAAGCAAAATCTAGGATCACTCTCTCTCGCTACGTCTTTCTTCTCTTGCTCCGTAAGGACGAGAGTGGACTCTGGTGTTCATGGCTACTGGAGCAATAATTTCCAGCAGAAGCTTCAGTTCGCCCTGTTCCTCTGGTTTGCTATTCCCTTCTTATTCTTGAAGTGAACCATTGTTCCTGTTGTTTATTACTCTTGGCATAGGCGGATTTACCCTTTGTTGAAGGGTCAATGTCCCATCAGTTTTACCTAATTGCATTCATGCCTGCAATTTGTGTTGGTATTATGTTTCTTTAACCTTCGAATTTTTAATAATCGCAGTTCTTCTTCTGACACTAATTTTTGTGTCTTATGTTGATGTTGGTGAGTTTCTGTGAAGATAAGGCTGTGCTATATTTGTGATTTTCTTAATGGGTGCTGGATTGTAAGAATGAGATTACGACATGTACTGAAATCGAGGGTTAGACGAAAAATTGGAGATTTAACATGGGTTAGGTCCATAGATTTATGAGCTATAGAAGTTATTTGCACCTATCGTGTTTTAGAATTTTGTTTCTGCATGGTAATGTACTTGTTTTGTTTATGAACTTCTTTAGGTTTTGCTTGGGGAAAAGTTTCTGTAATATGGTTTGATTTTATAGTGTCTATGGTTTACGTAGTTGGATAGTTAGATGGAGAGTTGGGAGTTTGGAACGGAATCATGTCAGTTCAGTTGTTATTACCCTTTACCATGTGAATTAATATCCTGACTAGACTAAAAATCAAATCTAGAACAGTGAAAAATCTCCAAGGTAAGGATTTGTTGTTTATTTTTTTGTGCCCTATCATTTTTCTTGTGCCATGTTATGTTTGTCACTTTGTCACCTATGTTTAGATTGTCAACTATCAGATGATGTATTTCTGGTGGAAGTTCGAATTTTTTTTAGTTATTTGGTATGTCCTAAGATACGCATAATTGGGCACTTCTACCAGATCGTTTAAGCTGGTTGGAGGAGGTGAATGTCTCTTAAAAGATGGATTCGCTATGTGGTGATCAGGAAACAGAGAAACACCATGGGTGCTCCTTTGCCAAGATTTTTAAGTTTTTCTCATTTGAATTCTTAGGTCTTTCATTTTATTAGACATTAAATTAACTTGTCTGTTGCTCGTTCAAATTTACCTTCTAAAATTTAAGATTTCTTTTCACTCATTGTGATCCTATTTTCCATGGTATAGCCATATGTTTAATTTGTTCCGCATGTTTAGATAGTCTTTCATATTATTATCTTAATGTGCCAAGATTCATGGTTACATAATGATGTAAAAGCTAGCAAAAATTCTATATGAAATGCAACTAGTAGGATAATCCTCTATACCATGATAATTAATTGTAGGTTTCAAATATTTGTTTCACACAATAATTCATATATAGATAAATGAAATCATCACATAATAAAGTAATTAATGACGTCTAAACTATTGCGTATATCAGTTGCATATAATCTAGGTATCTCATTTTTTCTTAGAGAAATAAATATCCTCACTAATACAAGCTCTCAACTTATATTAGGTTAATATGAGGTGGAGTTTCCTGAAGTAAGGTTTAGTTTATAACAGTAGCATTGTCAATGAACAATAGAAAAGTTATCAAATTGCAATGGCACCGATACCTTATTGTAGAGCACGATAAAATTCCAATATTGATTTGGTGTTTTTAGGAGGAAGAGTAGCATATATTCAAAAAAATATTAACAATCTAGAAGAAAGATGGCTTTCACATCTTTCTTTTCCACTTTCTTATTTTCTATCTTCTAATTTTTTATTATAATACTTGATTGCTTATAAACTGAAGGTAATGAGAAGAGATTTGGCTTGGTTTTCGTGATGCACATATGTATGAGAATCTTTGGAATTTACTCATCTAGAGAGAATGAGATGAGGATGAGGAGAAACTATTTATAGGTGCTAATTTTATGATGGAGTTATACGCAAGTGGATCAAAGATTTGAGATAAATTTTAATTTCAATTTAAATTTATATTTAGATATATTTGTGAAAAATTTAGGGGATAATTGAGAAATTTATGGAGATGTGGTGGTATGGAGGAGAGAGAATGGGGATAGAAGAAGAGAGAAAGTACTTAAACTCATTCTTTTTGTTATTGGCTTCACAAGCTGAGAGTGAATGCACGGGTGGAAAGAGAGAGTGAATGCTAGGAAATATGGGAGGAGAAAAAATGTTGGTAATTGATGTAAAGACGTCCAAAACAACTGAAAATTACTTTGATACCAAGTTGTCCCACAGTAGGCAATGTTATTGTAGATTCAATGAGAAATTCAAAGAAGCAAATAATAAAAAGGCACCAAAAAATGAATCCTTAGGTTGTTCATGTTGATTCATTGATGCATTTGAATTGTGGAATCCTCAAGCAGTTTGTGCCTATTTTTCAAAATTCAAGCAAAAGTTAGGGAACAATGGTATGAGCTTTTGGAATTTTTTGTTCAACTCTTCAAATCTAGATTTTTATAAAGCATAACAGGCTCTTTGTAGAAGATTCAGATACTATGAAGTTCGAATTGCCCATAAAGGTTACATGCTAACCCCCATAAAAATAATAAATGACTCAAAAGAGGAAAATAAATTACAATTAATGCAAATATATAAAGAAAAAATTATTTATTTAGAACATCATCAATCTGACAACAAGCATGAGGTTGCACAATTTAGCCTCAAATTTTGAGGTTTGATTAGTTCTTTCACATTAATTTGGTTTTAAAATATATTCTTCCTTTCATGTCATCACTTCTATCAAGAAAGAAAAATATAATCTCTTGAACCTAATTATTGAACCTAGGAATACTTAACCTTGCCCATATTTATGGCCCTGTGATTTACCTAGACTAGTGAATTACTTTTTATTGCGACCAGGAACTCTCACCCTTGTATTCTAGTCTTATAAGGGCACCTGTTAATGAATAACACTCGAAATCTCTCTCATCTCCACATTTTGGCATTTCATATAATCTAGCAAGAAACATTCATTTAAATGTCATTTATATAAACGTGCAGCATTGATTATCTATTCACGAGTACTTAACAATTGTTTTGTTGTTGTTCATAAATAGACTTGCAAACCATTTTTTCCCCAATTTTTAAATTTTTTATCATTACTTGATCACTCCTTTCTATAATGCTGTTATAACAATTATGATTTTGGATAATTGTATGTGTGGTCTTATGTAGTGGACAGATGCAAATTCTTCTGCGCAGGTCCATAGTTTTATGCAACTCTTTTTAATGTTTTTGGAACTGAAGTTTCATTTTGATATTTTGTAGGGAAGAAGTATCGAGGAGAGAGGCGTAGTTCTGGTGATCGAGAAGTGCAGTTTGCCTTCTGTAAAGACAGAAGTGAGCGGAGTGGAAATATAAAATTAAATATTCCTAGAGGATGTTACTATTTCATGATGAATTCCTTATTGCCATTTCATCATGATCGTGCATTTGGTAAAATTATTAAGATAAAGAGAGCCGCCTTCTTTGGTGAGATGGAAATGATTCTATCAAATTACCGGGAGAACTTACATCCTCAAAATGTCGCAGCCATCAATGTAGTGCGCAGGTTTTCTGGAAGGATAAAATGCTTTCTTTCCTCAGATTCACTAAATAACAACCGGTTACACCAAAGAAAGTTTGAAAATCTTGGCTTGTCGCATAGTCTATGTGAACAATTGGAACAAAAGCTGCTTACTAGGATGCGTGCTGACCTGAAGTCAGAGCAATATGAAGTAACTGGATCACCGTTGGATTCACTATGCTCTTCAGAAGTTTCCAATAAAGCCTTTTTGGGGAAGGAAGAGCTGCAAGAATCAGCTAATTGGTGGGAGCAACAATTACCAAAGCGATGGATAATTGTGCTTCTTTGTTTTACAGCATTTCTTCTCTGTAATATGGATCGTGTAAGCAAGTTTTAGAGTTTGCTTTGTTTGTTGAAATAGTTAATTTTTTATGTTTTATTGAAGAAAATTACTAAAATGGTCCATTGACTCTTTATGAAAGATCAACATAATCCCTAATTATATTAAAAAACTATTTTGATCCGATAACTCCCTCTAGAGAAATCAAAATAGTCTACCTTTTTAAAGATTTGAAATACTAAAATGATACTTTAATATAGTTGGGGATTCTTTTGTTCCTTGATGAATTGTCAATTAATCATTTTGATCCTTTTTTTTTCTTTTTTATTACATCATCATAGCTTTAGCTTGCATGCTGTTCTCAGTTACATGAGTGATCAGATGAATTGTTCCAGGTGAATATGAGCATCGCTATTCTTCCAATGTCAGCAGAATTTAACTGGAATCCTACAACGATGGGTTTAATCCAATCATCTTTTTTTTGGGGTTACCTCCTTACTCAGGTATTTTCCTGATAGATTTCTTCAAACAGTTGGCAAATGTTTAACCAACGCCTGTTATGTAGAAATGGATAATTGTCTTATCCAGTTTATGATATATTCGAAATATATAGTATTGTGCTATTGCTGGCAATTATTTGGCAGCCATTATAAACATGAGAAAGTTTCGAAATTTATGTTCACTCTGCAATATTGTTCAACTTTTTATTTCATACATTTTGAAGTGTTTTCGTCCTGGCACAGATACTTGGAGGCATTTGGGCAGATAAGGTGGGTGGCAAGCTAGTATTGGGCTTTGGTGTTGTTTGGTGGTCCATTGCAACAGTTCTAACGCCTGTTGCTGCTAAGATTGGACTCCCTTTCTTACTGATAATGCGTGCTTTCATGGGGATTGGTGAGGTTGGTTTTTTACTCGTCTTCCTTGGATTATGATAGGTGCTGCATTTCTCTAGAATATTGCATTTATTGATTAGTTCGCATGCATAGATTAGACACCCTTTCTTATTGATAATACATCTAATTGGGATTGATGAATTTGCCTTCTTTATCTTACTTCTCTCTTCCTTTTCTTAGATTATTGCAGTTGGCCTGCTGCTTTCCATGGTATTGTTTTTCTTTAGAAATGTTGAATCTGTCTCACCCCGGGTTTGAATGGAGGTATACCCAATAACATGAGATGTGATGAAGGCATATGAAAATATGTTTTGCACTACAAAAAAAAGTTTATATGCGAGTAATATAAATAGAATATATCAGAATAAGTAATAAAAGATAAATTAATATTTCATATCATTATTATAAATCATAATTGAGCATATCAATGCAGTATGAACAAAAACAAATCAAAAGAAAATTAAAAGAAACAAATGCAGAAATAAAATTATTCAAACTTAAAAGAAAACACAAATAGACAGCTACAAAAATTTTAAATATCTAATGAGATCCTATTGTTGGTAAGTCTGTCATGAGGTGATGGTCCACTAAGTGCTTTAGTATAACTTATTATGAGAAAGATTAATAATGAGTAAGTTTGAGAATTCAAACCCAACAAGTGACAATTATCTATTAAAACAGAAAAGTCAAGGCACTAGGACACACATCATGAATAATAGAAAGGGCACAAATAACTATATAATAGTAGGTAATCATTATCATCATATAATAAGGTTATATTAAGATTTTATTATATAAATGAAATATGCTACATGACTTAAGATAATTTATAATATGGCAATGCTCATGATTTGCATGTACGATGACTACAATAAATGCAAATTCTAATATGAGTTTCTAACATATTCACATTTAACTTTAATAGGTATCATTATATATCAAAATATGACTCATCAATCATTCATCATTTTCAAGTTATATTTATTTACATATATATAGTCAGTATTATAAAGACACCATGAACTGGGAAGATAACAACATAAAAAAAAAAAGGTTCTATCGATCCACACACATGCATACAATTTCTATGTTTGCCATAAACAAGTTTTCAATATATATTATATATTCAATAGGATCATTTCTATTTTATAACAAAATATGATTTGTAAAAAATACAATTTATTGCACTCAATGGAAGTAGCATGTATGAAAAAATAGATCTTCTATTATAGGAAATAGATTCAACCCACAATAATTTGTGTAATAATGTATCAAGATAAATCTATCTCCGCAATTGGTTATAACTTATTTTGTTATGAGCATAAAAAAGATATCAATTAGTATATACATACTAGATAACTGTAGACCAAAGGAATGACTAACAATCTAACTAATTATCTTGGAACTTAAAACTGGCAACATGGAATTGGATTATGACTTTTTGCAAAGAAGGGTTTGTTTATCCCATGATAAATAATAGGAACTTACCTCAAAGCGAGCCGTACGAAAACTCACTTGAGATCCAACCAATTTACTCTTGATGAAAATAAACTCAAAGGCTCTACACAATATAAACTTTTAAATTTATTAGGCACACAAAAGACAATATTAAAACTAATTGGTTACTAGGTGTAAGTGTGAAAGCTACTTAACTTGGTTATCTCACACCCCTACAAGATTAGTTATTTCGGCAATTAAACCACCAATTAAAATTCTTAAACTATAACTTCTCTAACATCATTATCAAATCAAAGATACACCATTATGCATCTACCAAATACCTAATCCTAAATTAATGTAATCAAAATAGCAAGAAAATAATTAATTAAATTCTTTTAATTTAATGAAGTTGGATCTATAAATATAGGGTTTTAGATTTTTATGTAGAGAAGAAGAGGAAGAAAACTCACTATTCATGTTTGCTTGGATAAGTCATGCAATGTTTGAAAAATATTATTTTATGATTGATTTAGATTGCTTATATTTTAATTAGTAGAAAATTCATTTTTTTAAGAGCCTACTATATAAAATGTCCAATTCATCCTCAAGCAAAATAAGAGAAAAAATCTAAGAAAAAATACATTTCTAATGTGTATTCAATAAACAATAAATCAAGCATAAAATTTAATCATAGAATAATAGTTCAGGCCTTTTATTATTACAACAAAAAATTAAAGAAAAATGACAGTTGAGTTGCATACCTTTTACAACTTGGTTGAAATTACAGACTTAGATTGTGGGTTTTCTAGCTTTTGCTTCGTATACGTCTAGGGCTTCACTTAGGGTTTATTCTTCTTGTTCATTATTCTTGTAGTTGTATCCCATAGGCCTATATGATTTTCTAAATCTATAAATTACATTAGAAAAAGAAAAAAAAAAAAAAGACTATCTTATAATTCAAATATTGGGAAGTATACATGTAAAATCATCATCACATAGATTGTCTGTCACTTATATTGCTAGGCTAACTTCTATCCTATTGGCCATATCTACTTGGGTCTTTTAAGCAGTGCTTGCAAACAAATTTTTTTAGATGATAAATATTTAATTACTTGCCCTTTTTGGGAATAACCATGTACATAGAAATGAGTATATCTTTAACAAAGCACTATAGGGAAACTACCTACAACACAAACAATTCATCAATTATCACACCAAACATTAAAGTTATATACTTATATGCGTAGTAAAGGAAAATTTCTAGTCCGAGGATGCATAGAGGCTATGCGTTTAGTCTGTGTTTGCTTGTGTGTCCATCATACTATGATTGAGTATTTTATTTTTTTGTATAAATCTTTAATCTAAGGGTGGTTTCACTTTAAATTATTTATGAATTAAAGATTTTACTTGACTTTTAGGTATTTCAAAATTTTTAAGGTTATGAAGAACTCATGGAATGACCATTCCTTGCTTTGAAGCAAGCCTATTTCTCATGGAATCCTAAGATTCAATGATGTAGGCATTCCATCTTTTGGCGTGCAATAATATATCATTGCATAAAAAAATATAGGTATATTTTATAGATTTTAATTAATTTCTTTGTGTTGGGATAAGAGAGAGATGTTTGCTTAATAGATAAAATAAATTTACCTAAAGTTTTTTTTTTATGACTTGGTGAAATTCACCTAATTTGATGAGGAATTTTAAAAGTAGGCTTTTAAAGAGTCCCAAAAGCTTGAATTTAAGTTTTATGAAGGGTGACATTGCCTATTTTGGCTAAGTGATAGTGCATCTTGAGTTGAGTCTAGATTGAGAGATCAACTATTTATTTGCGTCAATTAGGAGGGCTTTAGCTTTAAGGCTAAAAGGAAGAATAGGTTCCTATAGCTTTTAGGTTAAGGGAAAAAGTGACTTAATTTATAACTTTGAGGTTAAGAGTTATGAAATTTCCTGTGGCTTTGAGACTAAGAAAGATGAAGTGTAACTTATAGTTTTGAGGTTAAGAGTTAAATGGGAGTTTCTATGATGTTTTGGGTTCATAGAAATCAATGTATTTGTTAGTTAGACTAAGAGAATATAATTGAAAATCAAGTGAATGATTCATTGTTTTGGGACTACAAATTGAAGAGGTGTCTTTGAATTTTTTGTATTTAAGGAATCATGTTGAAATATTTTGCCTGATAAATAACAACGAGAAACAAAAATCCACAATTAATACCCATCTTGCCCCACTACACTTGAATTCGACAACTAGGATTGATCCTTAGCCTGGATCTATTGATTATTTGCAGAAGGTTGTGGGAAAAGGTTGTGAGGTGTGTTGCTTCTACTGGTAATTCCAACTATTGGATAAAATTAGCAAATTTTGAAAGATTTTAAAAAGTTAAGGGAATGTTTGATTAGATGTGGGCTGAGCCAAATGAGCCAATTTTGATTCACTTTGACTCGATAGACCCAATCGAAATTGATTCGGATCGATTTAATTAAATTTGACTCAATTCAATTTGATTTAATTTAATTTGACGTAATTTAAATAAATTCAATTCGATTGGCTTAATTTGGTGAATTTTGTCTAATTCGACTTAAATTAATGAATTTAAAGTTGCATTGAACCAAATAATGTATTAAATTGATTTGATTGATTCAATTAAAATTGTTTGAGCCTCAAATTGAGTCAAATTTTAATTAATTTTTCAAATTCAATTAGATTGAATCGTCTCAAGTCAAAATTATAAATTGATATTTTTTTCAAATTGTGTCAACTCGATTTGAAAATTGAGTCAATAGTCTCCCTCTTTCCCTTTAGCTTTGTTCGTATGAAACCTCCCATCCATCGTCATTGAGATTTTAATAAACTGAACTGATGCTTCTCGCATCTCGTAATGAGTGAACTGACCACGTCGATTTGTTCAAACTGATGTATCTTGTTCAATTGAACTGGTCATTGCAGTATTGAACTTCGAATATTTTTTGTAAGCATTGGAGAGCGAAGTGAATTGGAAAACAATAAACTTGCCATGATTGTCATATTTAATCAAATCAAGCATTAGCAACATAAGTTTGAGAGCGAAGTGAATATATATATATATATATATATATATATATTTCTCAAGCCATTGGAAAGTAAGAAGCTTCAAATTTTCATTGTTCATACTTACTACAATCTGTAAAGAAAATTTCATTCAAAGAATGGAACCATGATCCAAGTGGCCCCATTGTCAGTTGGGTCTATCACAATTGTGCTAGGGTTTCAGCTACAGCTGGTCATATATTTATTTGGGTCGGCTACATTAGGACTGTTGGCTACAAGCTACACAAAGGGCTGCTATGAAGCCTTACACTAAAGGTTACTTCATACTCACATGTGGAAGTGAACATTTACCTTGACTACACAGGCTACCAGCGAGATTCAGGAGAAGACGGACCAAAACCTTGAAGGCCCAGGGAGGACTGGGCCACCCAAGATTATTCCTTAAATTTGGGGTTCTTTTGCCTCGTGGTTTGTTTTGTAATTCCTTTGTTCAAGAAAGTATTGATCTCAATTCTTTATGTTTGAGTTATTACAACAACAACAACAACAACAGCAAATCCTCTGTATGCTTTATGTTTATGCTGGCTGAAGATCAAGCAGCTCTAATTTATGAATATAGGTCCATTTAACCTGGATGTTTGTATTGTGAAGAACATAGATTGTTGTTCCTTCTCCAATAAACCATATCTATTCCTCTCTACCTTTTGGCGTCCACTTCAAGCTGAGCAAATCCAGTTACAAGCATCTATTGCTCTTTCATCTCCTCCTAAAAGCAAGTGCTCATACCTGGCCTAACCTTGTAATCCACCCAATTATTACTAGGCTCATCCAAACCTTAAACTAACTCTTAAACAGGACACCATGCTTTTTTAGAATCAAACTTCACCTTGCATGGTCGAATCCCAATCCTAAATTCCTCCAAAGATGAGGTTTCCTTCTTCAAATATTCAAACCGTGTACTGCAAAAACCATAGAATAAATCTTCTGGCTTAAAGCTTTAAAAACGCCCTAAATAGCCTCTTTGAAATTGAGACCATTTCAAGTACGGGTTCTGAAAACTGTCAGTTTGGTTTGGATCAATTTATTTCACTTGGACATGGCCAAAAATCCATTCAATACTTCTCCATAAAATAGAAAAAGTTTAATAATAGATATCCCGTTGATCTGAGTGGAAATGACATTCCAATTTGCAGGAAGTTTATTGCTCTTACAAAAGCATCAGTAATCGTCACCACTATCTGTAGTTTGTCACGTATGGGTTGTGATAAAAATGCCTTAAATTGTAATAGTAGAATTGAAAGTTAAAATAATCTTACTAATTAGGAGAAAAACACTTACAAAACACATACACACACACATTTGGCAGTGAGGCTGACCATAACGTCAGTATACAGTAATGTGGATGCTATTCCTGTCTTTTCTATATCTGCAAATCTATTGGATTTAATCCGCATATCAACTTCTTCTCTTTCTTATGTATACCTTAAATTTTCCATCAAATATGCTAGTCTTGTGCTAGCAAATTCTAGCCTTTGCAAGAGCATTAGTACATGCAATGTAGCTTCATTAACCTTTGTTTTCCCTTCTCAGGGTGTTGCCATGCCTGCTATGAATAATTTACTTTCAAAATGGATTCCTGTTTCCGAGAGAAGCAGATCACTTGCATTAGTATACAGTGGGATGTACCTTGGTTCTGTGATGGGTTTGGCCTTTTCTCCAATGTTAATACACAAATTTGGCTGGCCTTCTGTCTTTTATTCATTTGGATCACTCGGAAGTGTCTGGCTTGCAGTTTGGCTAAGTAAAGTAAGTTACTTTTCATCTAAACTATAGCATAAGCTGTCTAACATATCTTTTGATTGGCTTGAGTTAAGAAACGTGTGCATGCATATCTGAGTTCAGATGGGATCAGAGTTTTGTGGCCATTTTCTTGAGTTCACAAAGACATTCACCATCTATATTTTTTGAGATCCAATTACAGATGTAGTAGTAGAATCTGGAGTGTCTCTTCATTTGATTAGAACGCATTTATTAATTTCTTCCGTATGAAGTTTAATTCTAAAGAACCAAATATTCCTCGTTTGATTCAACCATTTTTCCATCTATCACATTAAAAAAGATGTTATTAGTTGTAACATTTTTTCCTTTAGGCATACAGTTCTCCAAGTGAAGATCCTGAACTTTCCTTAGATGAGAAAAGGCTCATCTTAGATGGAAGCGTGTCCAAGGAGCCTGTTAAATCTATTCCTTGGAGACTAATTTTATCCAAGCCTCCAGTTTGGGCTCTCATAATATCTCATTTCTGCCACAATTGGGGCACTTTTATTCTCCTTACATGGATGCCTACATACTACAACCAGGTATTCTCATATATATATGAAGTATTTTTGCACATCTCCGTTTTCACATGTTTATCATGACATGTTATGCATAAATAAAATGTCAATCAAGCTATATGAAGAAAGTAGCTGGCGGTTGTTTATTTTTAGTCAAAGATATAGCAAAATTTTATCCTTTATTCCATTTGGTAAGTTTTCTTAAAGGCCGTACTTGGCTGTTTCTTTCAGAGTGGTATTGTAATAGATGATTCCTTCTGTCTTTCTATTTTTTTTTTGCGAAGGGTTCAAACCTCTGACCTCCGCTTTGGAGGTTCAAGGTAATACAACTCAACCATAAGGCTTGTGATAGTAGATGATTCCTCGCCTTCACAAGCAGTATTTATTGAATTGTAATTCTCTTTGCGATCAAGTACTTTACATTGCAGTTTTACCTACAGCAGAATAATTATTGGTTCTATTGATATTGAATCCTTTGATCGTGCACTGTTCGTTGGACATTTGGAGGCCTTAATGATGTCGGAATTCTGCGATCTTGGGCTCGTTGGATTCGTCTCGTGGAGTCGTTCGATTCGAGTATAAGCTCGTCAAAATCGGAGACCGTTTGGTAACTCAAATTGCGGTTTGAACCTTCCAACAGCGCATCGGGTCCTTGATTCGGACTCATTTGGACTCGGATTGAGTTGAATTTGGTGTCATTGGGTTCGTATGTCCGAGACGCTCAGTTTGATTGTAAGCTCGCTGAAATCGGAGTTCGGGTGCTCCCAAAATTAATTTTTGAAGTTTCCAACTTACTTTTGCCTCGAGATTTGTGCCCGATCAAGATAATTTTTGGAGTACGTATCAGTTCTATTGGGATTAACATCAACAAAGAATTTTCCCTTTCAATTAGAGGGTAAGTTGGGGTGGCTTTAGTGTGACCTGTAGGTCTTGAATTCGAAAAATGAAACCAGTTCCTTTGTAAAGCAAGGATAAGGAAAAGTACGTCAATCCCGCCTCAGACCTTGCATTAGCAGGAGCTTCATGTATGTGTTAGTTCTTCGATTATATTTTTATAGTCCCTTTACCTAATTAAATAACTGCATGATAAATTGTACTACTTTTCCTATGCGTAAGCTGCATTCAGATTTGACATTCTATTAGCACTCATCATGCTATTAGTACATTAATCTTGCCCCAGACCTTGCACTGGTTACACGTAATTATACTTTATATTCCCGTAGCTTACTGAAAAACTACAATGTACAATATATTGTTCATCCTATATATATGTTGCAACCAGTTTTTGCATTCTGTTAGTCTTATCTTTAAATTGAATCATAATCAAAGACGAGCTAAGAATATTGTGTTTGTTAGCATATTTAATGATGTAGAACATACATGCAAGGATGATTAGATTAAGGAAATTTGTACGCTTAATATTTCGAGAACAATATTAAATAAGTAAATAACTTATGCCGATCAAAACGCTAAGATAAAACAATAAGACGATAAAATAAGCTTAGGCTAAATCACATGCATAGGAGTTAAGATCGTAAAACAATCAATTAATCTAACATTGCGTACGTGGTTGGGTTTCAACGATAATCCCTAAACTAACAATAAGATTAGTCACTAAGAGATGATCCCTCACTCAACTCTTCCAACTTCTAGGCGTTAGCGGAGAGAATGACAAGAACCTTCACGAATCACTTATAAACCACAATTGAGTAGCGACTAAGAGATTAAAAGATTTGGAGGACAGTTTACCCAAATAATCGGAAGATATGAAGTTCCGGTGGCTGTAGGAAGGCTTGGAAGGAAGTAGGTGGCATCCAAGAACCTTCTTGAAGGCGTGGTCAGTAATCTGAAACGTCAGGACAGCATTTGAAGACCTTCCAATTGGCTGGACAGCAAGAAATAACTTGGACAGGTGCAGATTTTCCCAGCAATCTGAAACGTCCGGACATGTGCAGATTTCCCCAGAACAGCAAACTGCACTGTTGGAAATAACCTGGAGAGCTCCTAGGTGGTCTTGGGTGCTTTAAACCCTAGCCTATGGGCTTCCGAGATATAGAACAGCAGGTTCCTTCTGCTGGAAACAAAAGACTGGCAGCAATAATCTCAGGAGAGCATGGAGAAGTCGTGGGAAAATGCTTGGGGATGGCGGCTGGAGGTGGGATGGCGGCTGGAGGTGGGATAGGCTTGGGAAGGGGAATTGAGAAGGCTGTTGGGAGGATTCAGTGGATTAGGGAGGGAAGAAGGGGGCGGCAGGTGTTGGAGAGAGGGAACAAAATTCTGAAACTCTCATTCAGATTTTGTTTAAGAGAGCATTAGGGAATTTCAAGTTTGAAAATTTAAATTTAGGAGGATTAGGAGGGAAGTTGATTGAGGATCTTAATTAATTGTTTCCTGATTGGATACCAATTAATTAGAATTGGAGGGAAAGAGGGGGGGAAAGGGGGCCGGCCCTAAGGGGAGTTAATTGGGGGATTTGTTTAATTAATTAGTGGGGCAAAGATTCCAAATATAAAGAGAATAAATCTGAATTTAAATTCAGATTTATTAGAATTAGGGAGTTGCCTAATTTGAGGGCACATAAAGAGAAGCATAATACTAAGTTAAGTGTGGCAAAGATGAGGATTCTCAGGTGGATGAGTGGCTTTACCCTTAGATATATGATACGAAATGAGCATATATGTGAAAAGGTTGGAGTAGCTCCTGTAGAAGATAAGATTAGAGAGAGTCGCCTTAGATGGTTTGTTCACATAAAACGGCGGCCTTCCAATGACCCAGTTAGGAGAGTAGATGTATTAGATTTGACTTATGTTAAGAAGGTTAGAGGCAGACCTAAAAAGACTTGGTTAGAAAATATTATGAATGAACTTTCTTTATTAGATTTAAACGAGAATTTGACCTTTAATAGGACACAATGGAGAAAAAAGATTCATGTAGCCGATCCCACGTAGTGGGATAAAGGCTTGATGTTGTTGTTGTTGTTGTAGGGAGTTGCCTAATTTAGGTAAGGAGTTTTAGGAAAGATTTAAACTCAAATCTAATTTGAATTTGAATTCAAATTCTCTCCAATTTAGATCCACCTAAATTAGGAAAGTGATCAAGAGCACTTAATGGCAACCTTGGGAAGGTCATGGGGAGGAGACATGGGCGGCGGGTATTGAAGGGGAGGGGCGGATGGTGGTTCGGCGGTGTTGATGAACATTTTTGTCTCGACCCGACCCCGATCGAGCTCAACTAGGCTCGATCAACCCAATCGATCACCGTCAAGGCGAAATTGACCCAAATTAAGCTTCAATTTAATTAAATTAAATCCAATTTAATTAAATTTAAATCAATCAAATCAAATCGAACCCCGTTGAGCGTCGTCAAGCCCAATTCGACGCAATTCGGTGCCGATTCAAGTTTAATTTCACAAAATTAGCTTGATCGGACTCAATTCGACCCAAATCGATCCAAGTTGAGTTCGATTTGAACTCAATTTCAACTCAAATCAGTCAATTTGACCTGAATTTGATTTTAAAATCAAAATTTGAGATATACGACTGAGATCTCACCTCCAATCCCACCCAATTTTACATCAATTGGGCATCAAAATCTACTAGAGTAGATTAGATTTTCTCTCGTTTCACGCAACGAGGCAGCGGGATGGGATTGATCGAGTGGCGCCTAGCTTCGGGCATCCCATACGAAGAGCGTGAGAGGGAGAGGGGACCCTTTGTGCTTTCCGTCCCGACACACAGAGAGCGAGAGAAAGGGAGAGGCGGCCCCTTGCGCGCGTCTCCACTAGGCGGAACTCCCGTCCGCGTAGGAGGTCGCATCCGACCTGTGCCCGCGCGCGGAAACCTCGCTCGACTCCATCTTCCTCGGCCGCGGAACCATCGCCCGATTCCGCCTGCTTTGGTCGCGGAACCCTAGCCCGACTCGGCCCCTTTTGGCCGCCGAACCTCTTGGTGTTTCCGCCTCTCTTAGTCGCTCAACTGGCCGAAGCCATCGGTCTCTTGATCAGAGATCACTTCTGACCCTGACTTCATCCAAGTCGGGATTTGTGCTTCTTTTCCTCCGGAGGAAGGCTTCTACCCCTTTCTTCTTCAATTCCGGCGACATCGGGGCGAGTTGGAAGCTGTTGGAAGCTTCCAAACAGCAAGGGAAGGCTTCAAAACCTTCCAAACAGAGGTTTGGAGCCTTCGAAATGTCTTGGACAGCGGTGGCGATGTCCGGAGCGGCTTGGACAGCGGTCATTTTCCCTCGGAGCGGCTTGGAAAACGCTTGGAGCTTGGACAGCGATCCGGAGCTTGAATCGGAGCTTGGACAGTGCTTGGAGCTTGCATAGGAGTGCTAGGACAATCCGGGAGAGGTATAACACTAAAACTTAGTGAAACCTAGGGTTCCCCAAGGCCAATTGTTGTGTGATTGACGCCTCCAAGTCTTAGGTTCTTAGAAACTTCAATTTTTGCTCTCCCAAAATCCTATCTTCGCTGTCCATTTGTTTAAATCATGGAAATCAAGTGATTTTCCATGATTTGCTCTCATATGAGAGTTAAAAGGGTGGCGGCAAGGCGATGGGACATCAAATTGGTGTTCAATGTCCCTATTTTTGCATGTTATATCATATGTTTAGAACCCTTACCTACGATCAAATCATAGGTTTAGTGGCCCATTTAATGTCGAATGAAGTGTAGAGTCTATTCCTTAAGCGTGGCATGCGTTATTAGATCCCTAAACTTGTATGTTTCAACAAAATTAGCACATGAATGTGATAGGTTTACACCGCCATGACATCCACTATCTCCTCTAAATTTGTTAGATGTTCAAGCATGTATTTCAATCATTTTTATGAAGTTGTGGGATTGTTCATGAGCACTTTTGATTCATGTTACAAACCCTATAACTAACAGGTTGATTGGAAAACATCGTTGAACTTCTCTAAATTTAGGGAGGCAAAGCAAATTTTTCTTTCTTGCATGCTTTCATTTCTTAATGTTATATTGAGCTTGCATGAGTCTATTGCCTATTTGTATACTCGCTTT